GGGTAGACTTTGTAAGATGTAACTCCACCAAACAAAGGATATGGGTTATCCATCCATGACACAAAATCAGTACATGCACAGCATAAAAAATTCGCACAAAAAGCAAAGGAACAGCCTTTTTACTGCTGTTCTTCATCTTAAAGTCACAATGAGGTTTTCAACACGGAGTAAAAAGAAAAAAAAATACTCTCACCTCACTGCAAGTTTAAGACGGCCCCTATCACCGGTTTGAGCGGAATTCTATGTAAAAATGAATAATTAGGGTAGACTTTTTAAGATGAAAACACCACCAAATCGGGCCCAGTAAAAAATAACATACTGCAATCAACTTTACAAAATGAAAAACATTCACGAAAGAAAATGTACAATTTACAAAGCAATACACGAAAATCAAACATATATGATGCACACAAACCAACGATAAACAACAAATTGTAGGCTCCTGAAATAGATTATGCACATAATTAATGTTGGGTTGTTAAATATATTTTTAAGTGCCAAACAACCCCCTGACATGGGATAATAACAAAACAGTACAACATAAGAATAAATTATAAAGATAAATTGAAAATAGCTTAACTCATCACATTGCTGGGACAAAGAATAAAAAACAACGACCAAAAAGATAAAGTACCGATTGGCTAGTCTAACACTAATTATAGCTAATAAAAATCACGTTCCCCAGACTTAAAGATCATTCAGTACTAATCAAATTATTCTGAAATTGTCAAAAATAGACTAGATCGAAAAGATATACAGTACCTGTAAAACTTCACATACAGTCTAGAATATTTTTTTTAGCCCATAGGGCCATGTGAGCCTATGTCATCACTTGACGTCCGTTATCGAAAAAAAATTGAAAAATCTTCTCCTCTGACATTACTGCGCCAAATACATCCAACTTAAACTGGATGTTCTTTATAGTTGTATCTAGTTTATAAATTGTATCCGGGGATTTGATCCATAAAAAAACATGGCCACCGTTGTTAAAAATTGAACATGGAGGGGGATGCGGTATTTTGGCTTATATCTCGAAACCTAAAGCACTGCTATGAAATCTTCAGACCATTTGGATAACCCAATGTTTGTTTACTGCCCAGTTCATATTGGGGATATTCACAGATTGTGGTTGTCTTGAAGAGTATAATAGATATAGAGAAATTGTTAATAGCAAAAGTGTTAAGCAACGTCAGATCTACAATAGAGCTAAATGAATGATATTGTAAAATTTCCCTTATTGGAGTTATTGTTCTTGAAAAATCAATTCTACCTATTTGTGTAGGTTTTTCTTTGCAGAAACTGTGATGAATAGAAACATAAAATGGCATTTTTAAACATGTGTTGATATACTTTAAATATCATAAATTATAAAATCATTGAAAAACTTACAGGTGAGCAATTTCAGGCTCTTATGATTCTCGTGTTAGGCATCTATACTTTGTAAAACCTACGGTATAAATTTGGACATTTAGTGTAGTTTAAGTATCTAAACAATATGAGTTTAATTACCCTGTGTTAACTGATTCATTTTCCTTGCTCCAGCAAGTCCACATTACACATTTTAAATGAACTGAGAAGATGAAATATCGATTAAAGATTTTTGGTGCATAGTTGTACTCTCAAAATAAATAAAATGTTCACTCATATTTGGATCGCCGTGGATTCGAATCCCAGCCAGTTCAAACCAAAGACGAAAGTTGATATTAGCTGTTTCCGCAGTCACATTTCGAGTATCAGTTCAGGATAAATTTCGAGTTTACAATAAAATTGAGAATGGAAATGGGGAATATGTCAAAGAGACAACAACCCGACCAAATAGCAGACAACAGCCGAAGGCCACCAATGGGTCTTCAATGCAATGGTTTTGTTAAAAGCAATGACAAATGCGAAACACAATAAAAAAATAAATATCAGCATCAAATAGCAGATACAATATAAATCTAAAATGAGTAAAAAGGGGCATGAGGAAATATCTACTGTATACCGCTTATACAATAGTACCCTCGACCCTTGCTAAGGGTAACCCAAAATAACTCTGACCAAAAACAAAATAAAAGGTGCACAATGGCATGATATATCAATAGCAATTTAAGAAAGTTTCTAACATTTTTTTTTTGAGTAAAAGAGGAGTTGCGGATACAAATTTGGAACCTCCAAAAACAAATCTATAGCACAGTCTTTGATTTAGTAATGGGAAAACCCCAAAAAATAAGTATGACAAAAAAAACAAAAACAAAAACAAAAACAAAAAAAATGTAAAATTGCAGAATATATGGTAAAGATTCTGAAAAGGCACAGACCATTCTGCCTAGCGGTTAAATAGTAGTTAAGTATATAAAATAGGGACAAAAGGAGGGACGGACGAACGGACTCTCCAATTACTATAACTTTATTCCTCCGCTTTAAAAAAGAAGCTGGGGAGGAGGGAGAAAATAATGATAAGTCCTGAAAAATCGAAGAAAATTAAAAGAGGTTAGAGAATATCTTGTACCTTTAAATGAAGAAATAAGACTCATGAATATTCTCATTTTACGTATTTGTGTGCATATATAAATGTATTTACTTTATCAAAGAATTCGAGAAAATTTCGAGAAAAGAGACAATACTCATATACTAGTAAATAAAATGCCAGATTTCCGATGTTTGGAAATAAAGATATTACGAATCAATGTCAATCACTTACAGAAAAGATATCAAAATAAATCGAACAAAATTTTGAAATCACACGAGGCAGACTGAAGTGATTTCAAATCATTTTATGCTGAAGGGGTTTTAGCTCACCTGACCCAATGGGCCAAGTGAGCTTTTCTCATCACTTGGCGTCCGTCGTCCGTAAACTTTTACAAAAATCTTCTCCTCTGAAACTACTGGGCCAAATTTAACCAAACTTGGGCACAATCATCATTAGGGTATCTAGATTAAAAAATGTGTCCGGTGACCCGGCCAACCAACCAAGATGGCCGCCATGGCTAAACACAGAACATAGGGGTAACATGTAGATTTTGGCTTATATCTCTGAAACATAAGCATTGAGAGCAAATCTGACAGGAATAAAAATGTTTATCAGGTCAAGATCTATCTGCCCTGAAATTTTCAGATGAATCGGACAACCCGTTGTTAGGTTGCTGCCCCTGAATTGGTAATTTTAAGGAAATTTTGCCGTATTTGGTTATTATCTTGAATATTATTATAGATAGAGATAAACTGTAAACAGCAATAATGTTCAGCAAAGTAAGTTCTACAAATAAGTCAACATGACCAAAATAGTCAGTTGACCCCTTCAGGAGTTATTGCCCTTTTATAGTCAATTTTTAACAATTTTTCATAAATTTTTGTTATATCTTTTACAAAAACTTTCTCCTCTGAAACTACTAAGATGAATTTAACCAAAGTTGTAAACAATCATCATTAGGGTATGTAGTTTAAAAATTGTGTCTGATGACCCCGCCCGCGAACCAAGATGACCGACATGGCTAATAATAGTACATAGGGTAAAATGCAGTTTTTGGCTCATATATCTAAACCCAATGCATTTCGAGCAAATCTTTCAAAAAACAACATTGTTCATTAGGTCAAGATCTATCTGCCCTTTAATTTTCAGACCATTCAGGCAACCCGTTGTTGAGTTGCTGCCCCTGAATTGGTAATTTTTAGAAATTTTATCAGCTTTTGGTTATTATCTTGAATATTATTACAGATAGAGATAAACTGTAAACAGCAATAATGTACAGCAAAGTAAGACCTACAAATAAGTCAACATGACCAAAATGGTCAATTGACCCCTTAAGGAGTTATTGCCCTTTATAATCAATTTTTAACAATTTTCATAAATTTTGTAAAATTTTACAAAATAATTTCCACTGAAACTACTGGGCCAAGTTCATTATAGATAGAGATAATTGTAAGCATCAAGAATGTTCAGTAAAGTAAGATCTACAAACACATCACCATCACCAAAACACAATTTTGTCATGAATCCATCTGTGTCCTTTGTTTAATCTGCACATAGATCAAGGTGAGCGACACAGGCTCTTTAGAGCCTCTAGTTTTGGTTTTTTTAAGAGGCGAAAAATACAAAGGGGACATTGAAATAAGAATGATAATTATTTAAGATGCAACATTAAGCCACCGCTTTTAAGTGAGCAAGTCCCACACTGTTAAAATTAAGCATATAAAATGGTCCCGGCCATGTGAAAATTTCCAACTAATCTAGGACTTGCATGAATTATTCTTAAATAGGAAACAATTTTATTATGTCTACCATGTTAGAGGAAAAAATTTAAATGGTAATTTCTTGGACTTGGGCTCTTTTTTTTTTTTAACTCTCCGTCGTTATCTAGCATATGTTTCTCCAATGATAAAGAGTGCGATATCCTAGGATTCCCTTTCAAAAAATAAATACCGATTGTCTAGAAATCAAAAATTCTAACGATTCGTCTACGTACGCTTTATGAAACGCACGTTTACAAACGGTATCGTTATGTAGTCATTAGTTACACGCTAAATCTAAGTATGTCGTTATTAGCGATTGTTTAATGAAACGGCAGCCAGGTGTCTGTTATGAGTGTTAACGAAGACGAAAGTATATATCTGATTTAGTCCATAGCACAGTGTTGCTGCAATCTTCACATCAATTTAATTTTATTTTTTTATTCAAATTTATTAATAAGTAAATGTCCAGAAGAAATATTATAGAGACAATATCGTATGAATTATTTTTTAGTAAAAGGAAATATATTTTTACCTGCGTTTCTCTCATACACGAAAAATTTTAACCTCGAAATAACGGACGATGTAAACAACAGTCTTCTAAAGTACAAGCTAGAAAGTATTAACTAATACCAAAACATTAAAATCATAAACAAGCAATCAAAACTGCCCTCCAAAAAAAAAAAAAAAAAAATGAACGCAAACACAATATATAAAAACAAATATTGCATATTAAGATACACAAAACAAATGTAAATATTTTCTCACAGCTTTGTGTGTTTCGTTTTCAGATTTTTGTGTAGGAATATTGTTTGTACTACCTGAAACATTATTTAATTGGTTTAATGTGCCATGGAATCCTTATGTGTGTTATATCTACTACGTTTATTTTTCAATGGTCCCTTTCTATGTTTCAACGTATGCAATTGTTGTGTTATCAATTGACCGTGCATATGTTATTGTAAGACCATTAGCCGCTGCATCTAAAGGCAAAAAATACCGCTATGGACTGGCATTGTCCGCGTGGGTTATTGGATGTATTCTTGCTATTCCGTACGGAGTCTTTGGTAAATATGATGAAGAGGACGCTTACTGCTTACACGAATCACCAACATTAGTAAGTTTGTTTTTGTACAGATTGCTATTGAATAGATATGGAATCGTTTTCAAAGTTATATTCTATCTGAAAAACACATAGCTGAGAGGGTGAAAGAGCAGATTTTTACCTCTCAAAAACATTGTCAACCGAGTCGAATCAAAAGTTGACATTCTTTTTCGAGGGTTAACAATTTGCTCTAGCATCCTATATGCGTCTTATTTAGTTTATTATACTGAAACGGAATGCGCAGTCGTTATTGTCTTTTAGAATGTAAATTGAAAGTCATTAACTATGATGTTATGTATATAACAACATTACAGTCTTTAGAAAAACAAAATGAGCATTGTCTTTTAAAATAATTGATGCAAGCTCAATTCATCGTCCAATGAATTATTGAATTTGATTGGTCAGGACGAGAGAGGGACATTTAAAAAAATGTCCCCAGAAGAGCCATGGGGTAGAGTAAATTTTATCCCTCGTAATAACCAATCAAAATAAAAACATCTGGTTTTTAAATGTGAAGTATAATAATGTTAAAGTAATATATCTCAAGTTTCAATACATATGATATAAAAATAACAAGATGTGATATGATTGAAAATGCGACAACTTTCCACCAGAGTTCAAATAAGGAGATGTAAGCAATTATATGCTACCGTCCGTCCTTCAACAATGAGAAAATCCAATACCATGATTTCCTTATAGTCGGCTATAAAAAGCACCGACAAGAAAAATGTGACTTAATTCATAATTAATAACAAAACAATCTACGAAAAACAAATATGACCTACATGAACTATCGACAGCCACTGAACTACATCTCCTGACTTTTGAACAGGTACATTAGGAATATGGCGGTGTCAAACATGTTTGTGAGCGCTCACCCCTTAACATGGACCTGCAGTGCAACAAACTGTAATATTCAGTAGCAATTGGCTTAACTGAAAAGACCAGTACGAGGCAAAAACAACTAACTTAAAACAATATAAAACAAAACACCGTAATCAAAGTACTCGTAGTTACGTAAACATGTATCACCTCGCAGATAAAGTTTTTTCAAAAATGGCTAAAAGAGTTACAAAAATGTTCACTTTGGAAAGATTTTGGATAAGAAAATTAAAAACGTTGGCACCAAATGTAAGCAATGAAAATGTGTAGTTCTAATCCTGCAGTGCTATTCATTTTGGTTGTGTAGCTACGCAGTCTCTGTTGTAACTCTTTTACGTTCGTCAACTCTGAAATTCTAGATTTATATCAGTTCCAATCGCACAGTGCTATTCATTTGTATAAACACGCAGCCGCTGTTGTTATAACTTTACTTTTGTCAGCTTTCCAATTTAAGAATGATACCAGTTCAAATCTAACGGTGCTATTCATTTGGGATGTATAAATACGCAGCCTCTGTTGTAATCACTTAACCTTCGGCAACTTTGAAATTCTAAAATTATACCAGTTCAAATCGAACAGTGCTATACAATGAAGATGTATGTCTCAGCTATCTCTGATGTTATAACTTAACTTTCGGTCCCATCGAAATTTTAGAATTGCATCAGCTTATATTGCACATTAGTATTCGTGTGTAATGTATATCTATGCAGTCTCTGTTGTAAATACTTAACTTGCGTCAACTTTGAAATTTTGAAATAATACAAGCGTGATTCGGTTTTTAACTTGTATACGTAATACTTTCAAGATTGATTTTAGTAGTATCGGAACAAATTAATAAGATTCAATTTTTAAAATATGCTGATGAAGGGTATTTGTCATCCGAAATAGTTATTGATGCCTGTACATAATGTTTCGTTTTGTAGTATCGGTGTGGTTTTGTACACTTTTAGGCGTATGTATCATTTGTATATTGTGTACAGTAGCGTGTTGTTTTTCTTATCGATCCAGTGCCCTCGTTAGAAATTAGTTGACAAATATATATACATGTATATTTATATATACAGGATTCCTGTATTTTCTCTATTTCATGTTTGCTGACACATTCTGATTATTGAATGTAATATTTGATATTTAATGAATGGCTATTATTTATTTTGAATTTATTGAACCATAAAATTAATTTTTGACTCTTCACATTGAATAATCCGCGAAGCGGATTATGTAAAATGTGAAGAGTCAAAAATTAATTTTATGGTTCAATAAATTCAAAATAAATAATAGCCATTCATTATAAATAAATTTCTATCAAAAATAATGCTCAAAGAGCTTTTTATATTATTTATATTAACAATAACAACCGGTACACACATGTTGGCGTATGAATACACAACGTCAGAGTGGGCGTGTCGCCATAAAAATTGACAACATTGAAAATAAAGGTAATACTTTTAACCAATCAGAAGACAGTAAATACACCAAATTTATTTATTCATTGATAATATAATTCTTTGATCGTTTTTGTTGTAGGTACTGCTATACTCAGATCTATCCACTATTATCATAATACCGATCATAGTCATAACAGTATGCTACATTGTTATAATTATAACAATACGTGGTCGTGAAAGAAATGGATTCTTACAGGGTAAAAATAATGAATCAGGTAATCTTCTTTAATCTACATTCTAGTGTTTTTAAATTTGATTTGATCGAGAGTGTTTTACGTCTATGTTTTCACTCAATTGAATCATATTTTACTTATATAAACACTATCATCAGTTTTCGTTTTCACCTTCCAATTCGATTCATGTGAACATTGTTAAGCTACTTTTACTTATATGTATGTAATACTGACGGTTTGCTCTAAATATTAATCCACGAAGCTGAACAACTATGTTATCGATCAAAACATTAAAAAATACCAAACTACTGTAAAATTTGATATTTTAGTCTCAAAAGTTGTTCTCACTGCTCATACTTTTTACCGGGGTTCAAACATGTGCATCGGACGATTGTTTCGACCTTGATACCAATATGATTGCTTTCTGATCATTATTCGTGCATGAGATATTTTCGCGCCTTAAAGCCTTTACCAAAAAAGTAATTTTTCTACACGTTGGCTCATTCAAAAGTGTTACTATTGATAATTTATCTTTTAGGGCAAAAACATCGGCTCATATTTACATTGTTCTAAATGTATATAACATGGCCATTTTAGCCCAAAAATCATAAGCCACCTTTGTACTCTTTTTGTTTTCAGATTATAATTGATCAATAAAAACAAAATAAAATACTTGGAAGTTTTTTGTTGTTGCAGTTTTGGATCCAAAATAGTGACTTCAAACGACCTCTTTTCAAGTAATTGCTCTTGATCCAAGGTAGTAACTCCATCAGGCAACGGTTAACCTTTGAATCTTCCGTTCAGACCATTTTGGCTGAGATGATTTATAGTTCTAGTTTTCCGAACATTCAGGATCAAATGTACTTGATGAAAGTTATTTTCGAATCCCATTTTGAAGAAAACGAAAAATAGTATTATTTAAAGGAAAAAAATCAAAGAATTGCACAAACGAGATTGCTGACAACTTGAAAAAGACGTACACAGCTAGGCAACAGTGGTTAAAAACTGCAAACGTTAAACAACTATATCTTTTACCAATGCACATCAAAATGCAAATGCTCTCAGACTGCATATCAGGCTATGCATTCGAAATCCGTCGACGTGCCCTGTGTTCAATCTTGGTATCGAATACTCGTATTATGTTATCAGTTTTCATGAAACAACAATTTTAACTTTCATGAGCCCGAAGCATTTTTCTGAATATAACAATCCAAAATACACACAATTTCATTTAAAAAAAAAGAAGCATGCTACATTTATAAATTTGGAAGAGCAAAAGAGAAAAATAAAGAAGTGTTTTTAAAACATTGTGATCATTGTTCTTAGATAATGGTTGTGATACATATGTACGAAATAGAAGCATTTCAAAGGCAAAGATCAGAACCATCAAACTACTATGCATTGTTGTATGTGGTAAGAATTATCTTTTTTTCTGAATAGGTGGCAACTCATATGACTAAAATATATTATTAATTTGCAATATATATCTTTTAAAATCCATTACAATACTGATTTCGCCTGGTAGTGGAGCAGCGAATGTTGAAAAAGACGCTTAGCTAACACGTTTAATTACCTGAATACCTCATGGAATATTAATGTCTTAAAAAGTCTATCGATTATTCAATTTCACAAAAACATATTTGTCGTAAATGTCAAATGAGGTGCCAATGACGTTAAAAATGACCTTAACTGACGTTACTCAACTGTCATCGAAGACTCAACTGCTTTTTCGATAGACTTATTTCATCATTAACCCTTTTCTTAACACGATTTTTGAACTAAATTGGTTAATATGCTTACTCTTGAACTTCATACATTATAAGATCATGTTTAATAAGTGCTATATTTAAAGCACGAAGCATCTGAAAATTGTGGAAAAAACACAAAAAAATCACTGTTTTTCACCTAGCATTATTTGCGCGTGCAATAAATGTATATTTTGAACGTACAACCGTACAGCTGTCGTATAATACTTCAATCGACCTGATTTTCTTTTTGAAAAAAATTAGTAATAAGCAAAATAATTGCTTAATCGTCTACATTTTATCAGCATATCAATTCCGGATATTTGTCGGCACACATGAACCGACACTGTCTGGTTTCTATTTATGAGCCCACATTAGGCAATTTTGCGAAGGTCATTTGTAGTTATAATCACGCGTAGTTCTTGTTTACTGTAGAATTTCTGAAACTTTGCAATAAATGTTTGTTGCTATGTATTGTTGTTTAGTCGTGTTTGGTGAATTTAACCGTGAAAGTGACAATCATTGTAGGTTGTGTTCGATCGGTTGGACATTCAAGTCAAAGGACAATTGCACTAGATCGATGCCACAAAAAAAGTCTTCTGAATTTGGAAATGACAAATACATTACCTGCAATTTTGTATTTGCTGAATTTTTGAAAATAGCAACAGAATCTAGGAATAAAGTATGATAAATGCTGCGGGCAGTTAGACGTGATGAATTATTTATTTATCTCGATGAAAGATCGATATAATGATCCGTAAACTGATTCAACCATATTTAGGTATCACAGGTCTTGTTTTAAAGCTACACAAGTAAACAGAAGTAAAAATTAAGACGGTTGAGAGAAAGTTCTTCATACAATATTGTCGAGTATAATTTTTCGTGAAGCATACTGTTTGTTTTCTTCATTACAGATATAATTTTTTTTAATTGAAATACACTTTATTATGATGTTGTGTTCTGAGAACCATTTCCTCTCCTTTTTTTCTGAGATAAAAAACAACAAAACAAACTTATGTTCATAAGAATTTAAGGACATGTGATGTATACTAAAATAGGACACGAACAATTTGTCTTTAACAATCAAAAGAAGTCAGTGTTTCATCAAATGTAATGTTATGAGGTTCAAGAAAAAATATTATCAATATAACTATAGTTTTGATAAACGGCTTAAAAATGTCTATTGATAGTACAATAAACAGTAGTAGACGATTTTAAACTTCGAGGTAAAGATTGAAGCCATTTCGTACCTTCTATGTCTTTAATTTTAATAAAAAGAAATATTATAATAGATTTTCTGCTACAACATGAGCAGCACAATGTTAACTACACGAAGAAAAAGGCGTTGATCAGTCGAAAAATGGAATACAAAAAGTAAAATCACAAAAATACTGAACTCCGAGGAAAATTCAAAAAGGAAAGTCCCCAATCAAATGGCAAAATCAAAATTGCAAACACATCAAACGAATGGATAACAACTGTCATATTCCTGACTTGGTACTGGCATTTTCTTATGTAGAAAATGGTGGATTAAACCTGGTTTTAAAGCTAGCTAAACCTCTCACTTGTATGACAGTCGCATCAAATTCCATTATATTGACAACAATGTATGATCAAAACAAACACAATAGGTAAAAATGTCACAAATAGGGGCACAACAGCAACACGAACCTAACAATAGATCATAAGAGTAATAGACATACAAAACATGTAAATCTATGGAATATACGCATAAAGACAACAACTAATACACAACCTTAAACAATGGACAAATATATCGCTTTTTATCGTCAGTCGACAAAACATTTCCATAAAACCTAAGCATTGAAATTCAAAAGCGAACAAAAACCGGTGCAAAACACAGGTAATTATGTGAGTGTTATATCTATTCCATAGTAGCATCTGCAATGTTAATGGTAGTTATACTAATTGTCATAATTCTGAAATATATATATGTATATATATTAGTGTTTGATGTAAATGTGTATTGAAATCATAAATACATTTTGTTGAATCTGAAAATGATCGTCGTGCTACTTAATTCGACAGATCAACTGTCCAGTATATTGATTACTATTGTTAACCTTGAGAACAGTCCAATTTTACAAAATTAATTAGCACAAAGACCACTTGTCTATCAGCCTGGGGCAAGTTCTAAAGTAAACATTAAAAGCGTACAAGAACTTTGATCATTTATAAGCTGATTAAATTTTACATTTACTTTTATTAAATATTGCGAAGACCTGCATGTATGTATGCCACCTCCATCGTCCAAGGCTTTGTATCATACTTTAAACGAAGTGCCGACTCAAAAACGATGAAAAGCAAATTATGCGAATGAAGTTAATGTATACTGGTTGGTACGAGTAATACGCTAAATTATCTCAAATTGACATACTCCACAGAATTTTCTGTAACAACAGAGAAAATGAAACAAGCACTGGTTTCAGACTTAAGTTTGTCAATTCGCTGAGATCATGAAGATGAATATTCTTAATCTTAAGTTATTACAAACGCCATATTAGATATGGTAGTAATGGATCATTAAAAACATAATTTCACCAGGAAAGCTCAAAGCCAGGCCTTATATTGCCTAAGGAAAAACTTCAATCAATCGTGTCATAGAACCGTGCATTTGTAGAGTACTGTAGATAAGGAACAATTCAACTTAAATACCGATTAACCGGTTAATCGTTCGAAAGATTATCCGAGTAACCGGTTAGTCAAAAACTGTTCAATTTGACAACACTTATATATATTGATGAAAATAATTTTCTCAAATATAATTTCAATTAACAATAGTATCATTTCCAAAATATTTTTACAGCGTACATTATTTGCTGGGCCCCAATTACAATCGCAGCCATTTTAACACACCATGGAATTGCAGAATATGGGCTTTGGTTTATGGTACTGTACATTCTTGCCCCAGTAAACAGCCTTGGTAATCCTTTAGTGTTTCTAATTTTCAACCAGAAGATGTTTCGTTCTAAGAAGAAAAAGACGAACAAAAAAGTATTTAGTGGAACTACTTTTAAATCAGAAACAGAAACGTTAGCATTATGTAGCTAGATGTATTCATCAATTAACATAATTTCAGTATATATGTATATGATCTGATGGCGCAGTTCATTAGTTTTTTGCAAAGTATAATTGAACGATACGGTGTAGTTTTTAAACATTATAAGGTGAAAAAACTCACCATAGATGCCACGTTTAACAGTTTGTACGCCGGCCGCGTGTTTCGTCAACAAAAGACTTACCAGTTTAGCTCAAATAAAAAACAAAAAACCAAAAAATAAAAAAATTACAAAAGTAACCCCCCCCCCCCAAAAAAAAAAGAAGTTGATGAGCATTTCGGACTCAAAACTACTGCAAAATACAGCTACAGTAAATGATAAAAAATGTTGATTATGTTTATTTCCACACGAATATTGAAAAATACCTGTTATTGAATACTTACGCGAATTAATATCAAAAATCATTTATTAAAACAAACTGACAAAACAATTTTCCACCTATGTCGTGCTTCATTTCATTCTTTTTTGTTTCATACACGTGATTCATGTGCAATAAATCGAAAGTATTTAACAGATCCAGCATTTTGAATTTCACTCGCAACCATTATTTCCTAATCTACAGGAAACACTATCAATATAACGCGAACGAAACGCTTTTCTTGACAAACCTAAATCAGGAAAGCTCAAAACCAAACATTTTAAAACCGGATGGATAAATACCTAACCATGCTAATGCAGAGATAACGAGACATAAAAGTAATAGCCATATCCGTCTAAAATCAATTTTGCCTGATGGAGTAAACAACCCATATTACACATTAGTACATATCCATGATCCTACGGTTTAACATTAACCGTTATATAACGTGTTAGTCAGTGTCACTCAAAAGTACTTTGTAACTGGTAACAGAAACTTACATCGAACTCTGTAATCAAAGAAGTCACATGGAATTCAACAATCGTTCCGTTCTATATGTCCTTTTAACTATATGGATACAGAGAGGTTGTTGATACAAAAGGGGCTATTAAACTTTTCAGTAGAAGACAAACCAGAGAAAAAAATAAACAAAAAAAAACAAAACAAAAAAAAAACGATGAAACGAAATACATGTACGAAAGTCCACAACACGTAACATAGCAATTCAAATAATGCGCAACACGAACCCCACCGAAAACCGATCTTAGGTGCTCCGGAAGTGTAAATAGATTATAACAGCGGATTAATGTCCGTTTAACGTGATACGGATAACTTGAAAAAAGTTGTAAGAAGAATTTATGATAATGAGAAGGTAAGCTATATGAAAATGGTTCCCATCAGTACCTACACCAAAGTGTATACACCGCCTACGATAGTATAGTGGAATGATGTTTTCTGTGTATGCGTCTTTTTGTACGTTCCTTTGTCATGTATTAGGTAACATTTAAGTTTATGGTAGGCTAAAGCGTCAGTTTAAGATGGGATTAAGCTTTGGTTGAAGGTAATGTAAAGTCTTCGTTTACAGTAGGTTAAACCTTGGGTATAACAGTTTTGTGATCACACCAATTTCATGTAAATTCAAATTTTTATCCTAATTTTAGATATTCACTTATCGACTGTAATGACAACTGCATTAATTTAAAGTATGAATTTCCAATGGACGTTTTGTTGAAAATAACTAAATAAATCATTGATTTTTTTAACCCTTTGTTATCAATCTTTACTTGAGCTATGCATATATTTTCAAATGTGATAGAAAAAACATTAAGTTATTTGATAATAGACTTGTTCAAATACACATACATGAATAGTGACTTTTTATTCATTATAACAAAAAAATAAAAAAGGATTTTGACAAGAATAAGACAAAACAAGTATCGTTGATTATTTCAAAGCCTTATTGTTTATAGTTATGATCTAATATTGTATAATTATAATTATTGAATGGAATATTGTTTGAATATACCGTTAGAAATTCATAGGATGTACAACATCACGCGAAGAGCTATGCATCCAAACAGAAAGGACATAAAACAATTACCAAATCTATATTTTTATCTTGTTTTAGCCTAATATTACAGTCAATATTTCTCAATTTTTTCCATCTAACACGTTTGTTTCTTTTCCCTACATTAATCTGATTAATATGCTCATTCTGTATTTGTTTATCTCATTTTCAAGTTTGAACAAGTATGCAGTGAAGTTATTTTCTCAACTATGCATGCCGTTATATGTTTTGAATCCTTATTGTTTATAGTTGTGATTTATATTGCTTGATTAAATTTATTGAAGGAAATGTTATTTAAATCTACTCTTAGAAATTCCTAAATATGAAAAAAATCATCTAAGCAAGAATTTTCCAAATGACATCTGTAATCTTTTGCACCCTCAAACAGTACATAGTCAAACAATTGTGCTCATGCAGTTTGTAAAACAACATCCATGACAATAACATTGCGGGTATATTTTTGGTTTACAAATATCAACGTGTTCCTTACTACAATGTATGACGTCCAGAACGTAAATTAACTAATTCTAGTTAAATAAGATATTGTTATCTTTTGAAGACGATTATAGGATTCTCGGAACTCGATTTAAAAGAGACAAATTAAGGTAACAAACAAAAATTGAACGAATCGCAAATCCAAAAGGAGCGAGTTTCTCTTCGTCGACATAGATAGCATATCCTGAACTGTATGCATCACCCATTATGCAAATTAACACTTAGTAAAAATCAATGAGAACAGACACAATCGGTTGAAATACAGATCAGACGACTATTCTGAAATATAATGTAAGACCACAGAAACATGGATTTAGTGAGTTGAGACATTGACACATCGTTTCGGTCAACCAATATCAAATGGCTTGAATTTTATATACAAGTTAAATGATTTGTTGATCAATCTGATTTTTCATCTTCTTACATGTTTTGTATGCCTTCATAAACCATTCGAAAGATTTGTTCAACGGAAAATTTCCTCTATAAAGCGGGCAATTATATGTTTTCGCTATCGCTATATTTGTTTGTTTTTTTTTTAAATATCTGCGACTTTTCTTCTTTTGGATATTATACTTCAATTAGAAAGACTCTCCAATAAGCTAAATCACACAACGTACACACATGCAGTAAAATATCGTGTATTTTTATCTAAACCTTTTACAAAGAAACATTTAACTAAACGTAGTCAGAATATATAGGTTTTATAGATGTTTCAAACAAATATTGAATTGTGAAGTACCAAGGTGAACTTGAATATCTGCGATTAAGAAAAAACCAGAACGGCGTTATTTGCACCTGATTTAAGTATACTCACTGATTTGTGTGCTATAGTTTAAAAATCCCTCCTAAATTATCATTAAACAGTGGTTTCTGTGTAACTGATAAATGATAATGGCATTTTCTAATCTAGAACATTTTAATTTCAGTGAAGTAACAAAAAAAAAAAATATAACAGATGGAATAAAACTCGTTTTGATCCACTACATATTTGTTTAGTTTTATGAATAAATTGTCCTTCAGACATTTGGTATCTAAAGGCTGTTACTCCTTTTTCCTAATATTTGGGTTAGTTGCTGTATTCAAATGAAGCTGGTTTACTACAATAAAGTTTCCACCTATAAACAATCATGCAATTCTACAGATAGTGAATTAGAAAAAAAAATTGTGTTATCAAACAGTGTATGGCACATAACATGAAATGGGACATGACTCTTGCATACCGCCTGTAGATAGAAGATAATTTACTCGAAAGTTACAAATGCACTTTATAGAGTAATTTTCCTTTATAGAAATTCCATAGTGCATATCAAATATTGTTGTCTATATAATGGAATGTTATGCTACTGTCATACAAGTGAGAGGTTTAGCTAGCTATAAAACCAGGTTTAATTCACCATTTTCTACATAAGGAAATGCATGATCCAATTCAGGAATATGACAGTTGTTTTCCATTCGTGTTTGGGATTTTGATTTTGCCATTTGATAAAGGACTATTCGTTTTTAATTGTCCATAGAGTTCGGTATTTTTGTTATTTTACTTTATACTACTTAGTTTAGATAGTAATTTATATTTTCCATGAAATGATCAAGAAGAAATTATAGTTACCTTTAAATATAACTTTGCCCTTTGAACACATGTCGGAAGTAAAGATTTAAGTTTCTAGTCAGAAATTTCCATTTCCTGGCTTTTATAAAGTTCGAATGATACTAAGATGAATTCAACAAAACACACAGGAAATACAAAATATTGTGTTCTCAGATACATTGATTTTGATTTGACTTTTGGTGTTTTAACGCCACTTTAAAGCACCGCTTTTGGGCTATTTCGTGGCGGCCAGTTTTTATTTGTGGAGGAAGCCGGAGTGCCCGGAGAAAACCACCGACCTTCGATAGGAAAACAGACAATTCTAGTCAATTAAGATTAGAGTCGAGTGCACCCGCACGAGCGGGGTTCGAACACACAACCTCGGTTTGGACTGGCTAGTGATTAAAGTAGTAACTACTTAGACCACTCGGCCACCGAGGCCCCTCATATACATTGATGATGTCCATTAACTGTTATGACATGTCATATATTGATAAAATTCCTTCTTTTTGTGAGTACAATAACAAGTACATTAAACCAGAAGGGTCCGTTAATAAGAACCTCAAGGAATACTGATTGTCTTTTGAAATGTCACTGCATCACACTCGATTGAATGATCTGAGTATAAAAAATGTTCAAACTTCCTACTTTGCTTTGTTTGTTATCTTAACAAACATAGTTCTCGTAACAAAAAATATTTGTTCTGATGTTGGAAAAGAAGTTGGTGTCTTTGTTAATCACTCTAGTGATGAAGTTGAGCCAATATTTTACATTCTTTTTCAAATATAAAATGGAAGTAGAGGTGACGAAACACAAACATATTGATGTTGATGCAAAAGTTTGATTTATAATTTCGTTTAATGTAATAAATATTGGACAAAGATGCAAACAAATCTGAAGAGATGAAACTTCTAGCTAATTATGTTTGAATCGTTTGATATATATATATATATATATATATATATATATATATATATGTTTATATATATAAAGGAGATTTGGTACAATTACCAAAGAGACACTTTCCATCAGAGACCAAATGACATAGAAGTTAACAACTTAAGGTTACCGTACGGCCTTCAAAAATAAGCGAAACAAATACCGCATAGTCACCTATAAAAGGCCACAAATTGACAAATGTAAAACAATTCAAATGAGAAAACCAACTGCCTGATTTATGTATATAACAAAGAACGAAAAACATATATGATATATAGCAGTAAATGGCACATATTGAAATACAGGCTCCTGACCTGGGACAGGCACATACAGAATGTTGCGGGTTTAAACTAGTTTGGAGGCGCCAACATGCGCCTAAACTGGGACAATAGTGTAACGGCATAACGCTAAATCAAACTACAAATCACTAACCGAAAAACAAATATGAGAAACAGCAATAAACGACAACTACTTAATTACAGGCTCCTGACTTGGGACAGGCACATTTTTAGAATGTGGCGGGTTAAACATGTTTGTTAGCGCCAAACCCTACCCTAACCCGTGATTGTGGCGTAACAATACAACATAAGAACAAACTATTGAAATCAGTTGAAAAGGGCTTATCTAAGCAGATCGATACAAAGCAGAAGACATCTAACAAAAAACACAAACCGGACATGACAGAGTGTTTAGGGTTAACGCTGTTAAAGCTATGTTTACTTTACCCTTTTTTATTGTTAAAGATGTAGATAACAATATCATCTGCAAAACGCGTTTGATTGCTGTTAGTGAAGATGCAATTCTCGACAAAAAAACTTCACAATTCACATACGGAATGTACAAAGATGTTTTTACCGAGCCAGGTAATTTAGATACGATCCAGGTAAACCTATTGATCCTTTAAATAAAATTATTCTAAAAGTTTACAAATTCAACACTGTAAATGATCTTTGAAAATTGTTTTTATTAGTATTAATGTTTGTTTTTTTATAAGTAAATTAAGATTAGATTAAATATATTTTTTTATTTACATATGCACATTCATGGCTGTACAATCTGTCTAAACCTGTATGTTGGCATTGCACAAGGTCATGTTTTTCTCTGTCTGTTAATGACGTCTTTACACTAAAACCATTGAATGCTGGATGGATGTGTACTGATTTATATTTAAATCTTAGATGCATGATATTTTATTAGTTGTTGTTGGTTTTGAACTTGCTGTTAGTAACTGCGAGTACTCTCAGATTTGTACTTAGAGTGTGTTTTTGTTTGTTGTGGGGATGTATAAATATCCTGTCACGTTCGGTCTGAATTGCTTATCCTTAAGAAGTAATTGTATTTGTGTTATCCCAGTTTTTCATGTTTTTGTATGTGATCTATTTTTATCAACTTTTGGTTTTCGGCTAAGTGTTTCTGTTGCGATTTGTTTGTCTGTTCATGGTGGTGGTCATAATATGTTGTTCTTATACGTTCTATCGGTATCTTGTTCTCTTCGTTTGATCTAAGAAAAGCTTCTTTTTTAAAATCTTGGAAATCGTCGTTTTTCTACAAAAGAGAACAAACATAAAAATATAAATTATATAAATTTTTGAAAATTCGAATGAATCATATCAATATTTAATAACAGAGATAAAATCATATTGAAGAATAGAGATTAGAAACGGGAAAGTGTCAGA